AATGAAATTTCTTGGGAGAGGGGAGCAATCGCCTTTGAGGCAACAAGCACGCCATCAACTTTGGGGGGGAAGGGTGGGAGGATGAGTACTCCTGGTAGTTAGGTATAGTATATCTAATGAAAGTAATTCCAAGAGAGTTTGGTCGCTCCAAAATGTCAATTGTCTAATAATTAAACACTTAAAAATGTCGAAAAATTAACGAAATTAGATTTTTAAACCAAGTAGTGTGTCATTTTCAATGTTTTTTATATATTAAAGTGAATGAGACAAATCCTAAGACGGTTTTAACGAAATTGCACAATTATGGCAAAGATGCATACAGCGCTGAATTAACAGTTTTAGTACAAGATCTTGATGAGGTATAAAAAATTTATCTAAATGCAGTTAAATCAGATGTGATGTAACTGTTACAGATTCATAGGTCTCTCTGTTCTTTCTTCTTCTTCCTCTCACCACATGGACACATTACATCCAATTCCCTAACTATCTCTGTTATAGGTTCTGCACCGATTTATTTGGTTTTTTCTTGATTGATATACACTATCCTTGCTTCCGCCAACTTTACAGAATTTATCTTCCTATTGTTTCTATTTCTGCTTGGAGAATTCTAATATTATGAATCAAGCCCCTATCGTTATTGGAAAGGAGTAGAATATTGCAGGTGAAAGCCATCAAGGGATAGGTAACAAGGTGCAAGTGTCTAAATTCTAAGTAAAACTTCTATCTAGGCCTTGGCCTAAGAGATAGCGAAATCCAGAATTCAAATAAATAGGCTTAAGCTGCAAAGCTGTCTTACCCTGAGATTGGTTTAGACTCATAAATTTGATAATTGGATGTCCTCACAGTATTTAAAGTATTTCTATAGACTTATCATCACTAGAGTTAGTCTTTTTTATTCAATTCTATCTACCAGAGCCTAAGGAATATCTTCCTGTTTAATTCTATTGAATGCTTTAGTGAGGCCCAGGAAGCAAACACTCAGCTCTTACATTTTTTGATCACTTTTTCAAAGTGAAGACCCGCGTGCTCCTGTTTTCTCTAAACCTAGATTGCTCTTTCTAAAGTTGTTCCATTTTTGTTTTAATGTTTATTCCAGGATCTTAAAGAATATTTTGCATGGTATGCTCAAAACAGAAACAGATATTCCCCAATGATTACATCCTCAGCATTATAATAAATGTTAATACTTCTAAAGATTTTTAATGATTCTTTCAATGTTGGTTTCCTTTCACCTTTTTTTATTGTTTTGATTAAGCAATTTAATAATTTTTTTAAAGACTATTTATCAAAAAAGTTGATCAATTTATTTATGTTAATAAATTCTCTCTCGATACTGATTTTAGGGATAAGCAATGTATAAAATATTTAATTTTTGCTTTAATTTGATGTAATCCTGTTTCCCTTTTTCCAAATATTAAAAAAATCATTGAGGTACGAAATACCTATATTTTATAATAGTTAATATTTTGATAATTATGGATTCTATTGTTCTGCCTTTTCATTCCTACTCATTTCAAACATCAAAAATATCAGTGCCAGACATGTCAATTCTTTTTTCACTATTTACATCCCTTAGTTTCATCACAAAACTATTTTAATTAATATAAGTTTTATCTAAATCAAAACCACTTAGGTAAATGTTCATTATCCCTTACATTTGATCAAGTTCAAATTAAGTAACACGTTTGATGATATTTGACAAAATAGCAATATCTCATAAGTGATATATATATATGTTTTTTTTTTCGGTTGGCGCTACAGACCATGAAGTTCTTTGGCTGCGAGATGTGGTCATTTTACAGACGTTTGTTGCTTGTGGGAACTCACATCGTTTGGAGGTGATCACCCAACCTCACGTTGCTACGAACCATGATCTCCATGGTGCAGCGGCAGGCCAACCATAGCTCCATAGCCGATCCCTTTGGGGCCAATCTAGAAGTGTTCTTCCCACCGACTTACTCGGGTTCAAGGACAGGGACAAAACGGTTGAGATCCATGGATTATTGATCCACGAGGACCTATATTTCTTTCCCCAAAACAGACCGTCCATGGACTGAACCTCAGGGGGCAACTAACATTCTGGTAAACCACATCCCGATTCCCGATTTAAGTACACGGGGTAGGGTCATCATTCCTACGCCCGATCGGTGTGAATTGCCTCCAGTAGACTGACGGGCCTCACATACCCGGGGGAAGGGGGAGAGACAGCATGGCATATATATATATATATATATATATATATATCATATATGACATTTATATCAATATTAGTAAATCATGAAACCTTAATCCTAAATCTGGCTTCCTAAGTATTGTTAACCTGGGGCTACTTGAAGAGTATGGGAATACTATTTTTTAGTAAATCTAAGTCTCTTTTAAAAATATAGACATAATTCACAATCTCCAGTACTTATCTTGATTTTCATCCAAACAGCCCTCCCCGTAAGATCAAATAGCTCCAAGTTACGCAATATGAAAGAATGATTATTCATAGCACATAGGGACCATTGCAAACCAAAACTGGTAAAGAAGTGATAATTAAGAAATGTATATTTTTTATCAAGAGTATAAAATATATCAAAGGAACAAATCATAATGCAAATCACAAAATAGTAAACTAAATGAGATCAGTTAGGTTTAAAAGAACCTATGATGTCAAGAAACATAATAAATGATGCTGAATTGTATAAATAAGACACCTGGTGTAAGTAAGGAAACAAGTTTTAGCTCATAATAAAAGAAAAGTATAACATGAATGTTATAATTTATAAAAAATTTGGATTGGTTATTGATAATATTACTAGTAGTGGAGAGAAAAATAATCTGGAAAGAATTCCTTGTGGTTATTAATTAAATGTAAAAAAATTATTTCACCACTTGATTATTTTTTCTGGCACTATTGCCCTCGAAGGACATAGGCCTCCTTACAAATCGCCTGCTAGGCTGGTCTGTCGGTGGCGATAACTCTTCCCCAGCTCGCATAAGTCTGCCTTAAAGTTCTCCAACCATTTCATCCCTTCATCATTATTTTGTAGTAGTTTCCAAAAATAGAAAAAAATGGTTTCCCAAACTTTCAGATTTTTAAGGTAATTCATCTTAAAACCATCAATCCTAGCTACCGGTTTCACTATTTCTTAAATACCTTACTTTGTTCCTGTGTAGTTCACGCATATGCTAAAATTAGCTTCATACAGAACAGTCCAAGAACAAATTTTAATTTAAGTACCTGATACACTGAGAGGAAACAAAATAAAATTATTATTTAAACTTACTTAAAATTTTAACTTTCAAATTATATACTATAATATTTAGGTGAGAAATAAGAAAGAGTAAAGAATTACAAATAAATTAAAACATTTATTTACATTTTAAGAAAACATATTTAAAAAACAAAAGTCTGTAGTATTAAGGGAAGTGACTAATGGCAGCTGTAATACATATACATGACCAAGATTTCTGCAACAAAAAAACAAAAATAAAAATAAAAAAAAATTGTATACTATGCTCATACATATTGTTAATACTATATAATTGTATATTAGTTTTGGAAAATTGTCTGTAGCGATTAATAAGTATGCTGTGTTTAAAGCAACCCAATGTAATTGGGCAGCACCCTTTTATGATAATAAAGTGATTCTCTCTTAGTCATATAAATGAAAAAATGAATATAAGAACATCTGTAACATATTTACAGTGACGAACATATTAAACAAAATTTAATTTCCCAATTCTCTAATTTGGCACCAACAATATCTTAATAAGAAATAAAATCATTCAACTTCAAATTAAATTAGAATGAAACTAATAGAACGAATAATAGAATAATTAAAAAATAATTTAGGAAAACTTTTTTACATTTCTTTCATAACTCTAAAGAGGTTTCAAAGTGCGATGATTAGAAAAATAATGCAATAAAATATGCATCATCACACATGTAACAAGTACTTTTTTTAATAATTAACACGACTACAATAATATATCATGCTCATAACAGACAATGCATAAAACAAATAAAGGGAATTTCATTAAATAATAACAATCTTTGGCAATTTCACAACACTCATCAGTTTTATGTTACATGTCTACTTAAAATGTTTTCACTCTTGAAAATTGCACTCCATGGTGGAAAGAACTCTATGAGTACCCGCCAGAAACACGTGGCTCACTATTAAAGAGTTTACAGGTTTGAAAGTAGACACTTGTTGATATACCCCCATCCACAACCTTTTCAGAACCACACACAAAATATAAACCAATTTTGTTTGTGTCAAGAAGAATCATATTTGTTTTCTAAAAAGATTCTTCACTATAAAATGCAGAGAATTTTAGTGAAAAGATGAAATAATTCAACTCATTGAGTTTGATGAAAAAAAAAAATCTTGCATTACGGGATGTTACAAAAAAAAGAAAATGCTGATGTAGAGCTGAGGACGGATACAAAGAATCTTATTATAAATTCGACTTCACTGCTGTTTAATCTGGAAAAAACTTTTAACTTGCTACATAATATTAAGCTGTAATTCTTTAATAAATGGATTATTATCATTTATTCTAACAATCCATGGATTGATTTTTTTTTTTTTAACTGTCATTTTTTTTTATTTCTTTAATAAAAGATTAAAAGTTATTAATTCCACTAGTTTTCCTTTAACAGTCCGTAATACCATCTTGACGAGTGTTGTAGGTCAAATTAACTCTCAGTTCACCATACTTTGTGTGTGACAAACATAGTCATGTAGATATGATATAAGTGTTTTGGGGATTAAATATTAGCAAGGAGCATGCTAGACTCTCATGAGTGAAATTCTCCTCTTAAACAGCATTAGTAAATAAAATTGCAGATTTAAATAGAAGTGGATTTAGATGATCCATTCTATCAAACAATGAATTTTGGTATATTATACACATTATTTTAATATTTTTTACTATTTTGCTAACTATATATCATTGCTTCTATAGTAAATTGAATTTATAACAAAGAAAAAATATTACCTAACTGTCTAAGCTTCCTCTTCTGTTTTAAATTTCCCGCCATAATAAGGCATGTATTCTAGTACTAATCTCCAATCAGTTGCATAGCATATACCAGCTCCCGCAGATGCGCCAAAAAAGGTAAGACTTGGAATCCTAAGAATGAAAAATAAATTTAAAATAATAACCATAAAAGTAATTTACAACTTAAGTTATAAAAGGAAAAAACCCAAATTACAAAGCCATAAATCTCCAACATACAGGTGAATAGTTAACCCACCAACATTTCCCCAATTCAGGAAAAACAAAGATCACTTATATTCGGAAAGAAAAACAAAAACAAAACAGGAACAGCAAAAAATGAAAAACAAAAAAACAATTACTGCGGATAATCAAAATATGTTAAAGCATACGTGATACATTTCTATTTAATGGAAGAATTTTGTGGTTAATTGAAAGTTAAATTTTTTAGGATTTCAGGGTGAAGAATGTAGAAATCATAGAAAATGAAACATCATTAGATAAAATTATATGTTCGTAATGGTAGAGATACCGTTGGTTGTAGATAAATTAGGAAAAATTTGGTTGAGGGTGAAATCAAAAGTGAAAGTATGATTCTTTTTCAGAAATAAAAAAAAATTGTTTGTGTACTTTCATTATTGACTGCATACCTAACCAACTTCTACTTATATTTTCATAGTTTTGAGTTGAATTAATTTGAAAATGAATGATCCCGTTAAGGTTTTTTTCTCATTATGAGGTGAGGTAACAATATAATACAAACTCTATTATTGTAAATTACTAACATAGGCATAAAACTAGAAAAGAGACATAAGGTTATTCTGTTATAAATGGAAAATCCCAAACTACAAAAAGCCACAAGTCTCCAACATACAAGTGAATAGTTAACTAGCTAAAGTTTCGCCAATCCAGGAATCATCAGAGCAGAAAAACCAAGAGCACTTATATGCAGAAAGAAAAAAATGCATAACTAAAATTTAATAATACAAAATGTTTCGCCAACTTAGGCATTGATATAATAATTATATGCTTATTTGAGTAATATTACTTGTGGGATGGCCATTTATCCACTGCCATTTGTTGTGAACGGATGTTATATATACATTCCACCTTTTTCTTTTGGATTTATTATTTAATTTAATACGTTTTTGTATTATTATATTTTAGTTATGAATTTTGTTTTCTTCCTTGTATTTCTGCTAATCAGCTGTTCAATATAACCCTCCTAAGCTATTTTAATGGGACTTTCTCTTTCCTTTAGTATGTATTTGGATAGTTTCGTGAGATTTCTACAGCAATATTTTTTTTTTCTTTCTGCATATAAGAGATATCTTAGTTTTTCTACCCTGATGATGCCTGAATTGGCGAAACGTTGGCAAGTTAACTATTTACCTGTATGTTGGAGACTTGAGGCTTGGTAGTTTAGATTTTTCCATTTATAATAATAAGTTTATTTAATGATATTTGCAATTAACAATATGTACATAATAATCGGTCATGTTTTGGTTTACAACATTTCACACTACAGTAATATTAAAATTATTAACTTAAATACCATTCCTTTGTATTTTTGACAGTAGGAAATATTAATTTAAAAAACCTAAATAAAAAAGAAAAATAATAACTAAGTAAATAATTAATAAATAAATAAAATAAACAACACTAATAAAATGAAAAACTATGTATATTTAAATAAACATACATACTATATTTTATGTATGTTAATTAAGCTAAACTAAAATAAGTACTCTATAAATATTATGCAACATTATTTCGGACAGTTTTATTCCAGTAAAATGTTTTGTACATCTGTGTTTGTATCTTCTTAAACTTTGCTTATTGTAATTGCCTATTGCTTTAATTATGGGGTTTATTGATGTATTTTTTGATTTGACAAATTTTTCGGTCTTGGAATATATGAATTGTTTAATTGTTTGGAATTTCAAATCTTTTAACATTTTGATTATTCTTGAGTATCTGGGATAATCCTTTATGATTCTCATACACAGATTTTGTACCTTTTCTATTTTTTTAATAGTTTGTATCACATGTATAACTTCAAACTGGACAAGAATATGTATTTCAAGGGCATTTTCCATTTATAACAGAATAACCTTATGTCTCTTTTTTAGTCATTAACAGCAATAGAGATGGTATAATATTGGTAGATCACATCAAGGAAAAAAAAAAAAAGAACTTAACGACATAATTCAAAACTATGAAAATATAAGTAGAAGTTGGTTGGGTATGCAAACAAATTTTTTTTTAATTTCTGAAACAAAATGCTATGCATACTTTCACTTTTGATTTCACTCACGACCAACTTTTTACTAATTCATCTACAGCCAATGGTATCTCCACTATTACAAACATAATTTTATCTAACAATGTTTCATTTTCTATGATTCCTACATTCTTCACCCTGAAATCCTAAATAATTTGACTTTCAAGTAACCATGAAAGTTTTCTATTAAATGGAAATGTATCATATATGCCAATTTAACCATATCATTAATTTAATAATCATTGATAAATTTAATTGACAGCATTGTTACACTGTATGCCTTAATATATTTTGATTATCCGCAGTAATTGTGATATTTTTTTTTTTCATTTTTTGGCTGTTCCTGTTATTTTTTGTTACAATAAGTGCTACTATCAACTGTCATAGATGATGAACTCCAAGGGTAAGCAAAATAAGCTTCGTTTTAGTGTGATTAGGAAAGGATATTCTCAACTTTTATTATCTAGCATAATGCGTTTAATTTTGGGTGCACCCTACTCAACTCCTGTTGCAGCTATGGAACTGCAGATCACAGCAGAACCCCTTTTGAGCAAGCTGGAATGTGTCTTCACGAGCAGATGAGAAGAATGGACCCAGTTTTGGAAAAAATACAACATCTCAACTTAACAGCTCAAGACACAAGAATCATCCATACCAAAGATGAAGGCTTGACTGTGAAGAAAGGGAACCATTTATACAGGCACAGTTCCCAATCTATAATGACGCAAGACTAATACCCATAAATTTGTAACACTGCTATTATTCTTAGATGACTGTAGACCCAGAATAAAATAATTTTATTTCATTCATTCATTCAAGCAAGGTAGAGCTGCAACTCCTCCGTAAGGTGGATAAAAAAGAAACACCAGATAATGAGCTAAAAGCATAGCTCTAGAAACTATAGATCAAGAGTATCCTCCTTAGGATTGGCTTCACATTTATACCAATGGTTCAGCTGAATTAGCCGTCAAAAATTCTAGGGCAGGGGTTTACTCGAGCGAGTTTTAGTTCAGTGATGTGGTGAGTGAGGATGGTTCGAATTTTGAAGGTGAGATAGCAGCAATCCTCATAGTCCTAAGAATATTGGGAGGTGCAGGGTGGGGTTAAATAGGCTAACGTGTGTGCACAGCACCACGAGTTGCCTGGTAACCAGATAGCCGAAGTTGTGAGAGATATAAAAAATATGAGTTCGCGCCGCAGTGCCGGAAGGGATTATAAATTTTCCGCCCTAACCCCCTGGCCCGGGAAATCCACATAGCCTAAAAGACAAGGTAGGGAGAACAAAAGATAAAAAAACAGCCCTAAGAACACTCTCAGGAAGGCAAGTTTAGAGAGCTGTTCTCTTTGTCCACTCTCAAGCGGCAATCCTCGCTGTTACTAACCTGAATGAAGATCTGTCGAGTGCTATCTTGGAGTGTTATCCCTCCTCTATAACCTAACACACCGAGGCACCAATGTTGTCCTACAGTGAACTCCGAGCCGTTGAGGGATTCCAGGAAATGAATTAGCAGATAGTCTCACCAAGAGAGGAGCAGAATTGCCTGAACCAGTCCATTCAAAATCTTAAAATTCAATTTAGCGAATGATGAGGATGGTAGTGAAGGAGGAAATAAAAAAAATACACAGAAACAAGGTGGAAGGGGGACGTTATATATATGTTTGATGGAAAACTGATCCCAGCTGACCTACCAAGAAGGGACGCAGTAACCTGCTTCCGCCTGGCCACTGGTAACAACTATCTACAAAGTCATCTCCATAGGAGAGGCGTGGCTGAAATCCTAGGTGTAAATTATGGGATCAAGCTAAATGGATGCATGCCATCAAGACACATGTCTAGCTTTGACAGACATAAGAAATAAAACATTTGTAAATGAATATATAAAAATATCTAACTTATACTGGAGAACAAGATGTCGGATGGTTGAATGACCAACGACTTCGGAATAGGAAAATAAAATAAGCTGATAGTTTTATATTTTGTAAGTTGTTGTTTAAGGGGTGTCAATTAACTTACATTATATCACTGTTTATGACTTCCGCTCACAAAAAAGATGAACATTAGGTCCTTTTCAGTTGAGCTGGGCACCATAACAAACGGTTTAGTCCCATTGTTCAATTTAGGATACACTTGGCCATTCTACAAACTCCATTTATGTGATCATAAGATTTTGTGCTGCCCATCAAAGGAAAGTGACACATGTAAAGTGGTGGTCGAGGTCATACCAAATAGTTGGTCATCTCCATCTACTATCTGACATACTCAGTCATTCTCAGAATTCCATTTATGATGTGTTCATGCATGAGATCTTTTGCCACCCACTAACACTTGTAAAGCAATATCCATTCCCTTATTCCTTCTTTCATTATTTATAATTGAAATTTACGATTAATCATCACACAGTACATGATTATTTTAAATTTATCACAGAAGATTATCATTCCACCCAAGATTTTATTCATTTCAAGAATAAAGCTAAGAAGCAATGTTTTTTAAAGTTCCTTGAACACATATATCCTGGAGGTAATAAACTACTTACAAAAATACCTGATTTCAACAAGTATTTACACAAAAAAAATGTAACAACATGTAAATTTGGGATTAGAAATCACAAAGTGAATGGTCAACAAAGATTGAAAAAACAAGAAACAATATCACTTACAATTTAAAAATATAATGAGATAAGAAGGAGGTGTGATAGATCTCATAAATACAAATTCCTTACCTTGCTAATAATTTAAAGTTTTCATGGTTGATAATTAAAATCAATAAGGTGTATGAAATTAAAAAAGATTTTTTAATTTACTTACCATTTAGGGAGAATGTCTAATATCTTTTTAGAAATCATAGTTGGATGCTAGAAAGAAGTAAAACAGCTGATGAAAAATAAAAGGCCACTCTAAATCGATTCGCTCAGTAGCGACACTGAGATACAATTTTAAGCTTTCACAAATTTCACAACTATGGGACAAACTAATATATAAATGGTTATTTAACTGTGCTAGAATTTTTGCTTCTCGCTTTTTATATTTTCCGTCTATTTTCAGTATTAAGAGCAATAAAATAAATAGTTTGATTCAGTAATAATTTCGTAGTTAGTTAATTGTGTTTCCCATAGTTTGTGAAATGCCCATAAGTGGTCTAAGCCCACCTTAATTGTATACTTTTTTTATTTACGGACTAACTTTATAATTCACTGTCGAAAGGAGTTTTTTCGAAGCGTGAATTTCTTCTGTGTAAGCATATTATTCCACCACTTATCTTGTTTTAGTAGACAAAAAAGGCTCTGAAAAGGTAAGATTACGAACAGAAAACTATTGTTTTTAATCCTAATACTCAGATCCATGTTTACTTAAAGCCTTCACCTCTGCCAGCACCAGTATGTTAAATACAAGTTTTAAATCTACTTCATCGAAAAATATTTTAGGGAACAATGCACCTAAGGCACCTAATATTCTTCACCATCTCGAACAAATTTTCAACAGATATGAACCAAATTTCTTAAAGTTCTTGAAAACGGAGAAAGTTTTCTTACAAAAAGTGTGTAGGATGTACACCACGAAAAAGCTAAGAGAGCTATCTTTTGATATTTACTTTATATATATATATATATATATGATTTTTTTTTCTTTCGTGGCAAAATGCTCCGCGGCCATGAAGGCCTATTGTACGCCTCTATTAATGTCACTTCTACTCACAGCGTTATTCATCCTGTCTCCCAAACGAAAGTTAGCTTGAATTGACAAGCTCGTTTTTCTTGGGGTGAGTCATCCCATCATTGCCAAATAAACAGAATATTAATTCAGCAAACCTGTCCCACCAACAAGTGATATGATTAGCTGTTAGGTCCTCCTGAACACAGAACCTACTACGAGACGACTCCATTAGCCGGAGATTAAACGTGTGATATATCAGTTTACAATTACTAGTATATTTTCTTAAGAGAGCTCCTGCTAAAGTTAATTAGTAGGTTGCTTTTCTTTGGACAGACTCCAGCTAGGAAAATCTTCAATGAGTCTGTTCTTCAGTAATTTCTCATCCTCTCGGATCTTTTTAACGAACCAAAGTATTTTAGAAACTCCAGCTTCCCTGCATGCCTTAATTAGTTCAGTAGGAATATTATCGGTTCTTGCTGCTTTATAAGATTTTAATTTTCCGATAGCTACTTCAACTTACTCTTTACTCGGTTCTTCTATTAACGGTTCCGCTCTCTGGTACTCAGAAGGAGGACACAGATCATAATTTTCCGCATTTAAAATATTGTCAAAGTGGTTCTTAAACTTATTTAATATGTCAACCGGATCGGTCAGAATATTGTTATTTCCATCCCTAATTCCAGACGTGACGGCCCTAAACATTTGCGTGATCTGTTTATACATTTGAACATGTCTCTTACGTTATTTTTAATTACATTAGCTTCTATTTCAATTATTTTATTTTTAAGATACTCCCTTGTTTTATTTTTGAGCAATTTTATCGTTTCAATCTTTGAGGTTCAAAGTATTCCAGATTGCCTTCGTTAGAATTATTTAGAACTTTTAATTTAGCGGCTTTTCTTTTAATGCACATGTTTAAGCATTCTTCATCCAACCACTGTTTGTTATTCTGATTTTCCTTTTTTCTTAGACACGAGTTACCGACCGCTTTAATTTTATCTCCGATCTCTACCCATAACTTGTCAATATCCTCACGGTCCTCCTCAAAAAACCCTAAAACTTCAAACCTATTCTTAACATCCAGCTCGAATTGGGTTCTAATTGATGGATTTTTTTAATTTTCCAAATTGAAATTCTCAAAATCGAAACGGTTTTCTTTTCTCTTTTTTATATTTAGTTTTTGTCCAAGTTTCGCTATTACTTGGATATTCATTATCCGTCCCACATTCTGCTCCGCGATAAGACCGTACATTAATTATACTGCTTTGCCAGTTATGTTGTATTAAGACATGATCGATTTGATTTCGTGTTTGCGAATATGTTTATGAATATCCTTATGTTTAAACGTAGTACTTTTAATTATCAGGTTTTTCGAGATGGCAAAGTTTATCAGACGGATCCCATTATCATTACTATACTCGTGCAAACTTTCTTTACCAATCGTCGGATCATAAATTTCTTCCCTTCCTTCCTTTGCGTTTGTGTCACCTACAATCATTTTCATGGAGTTTCGCGGTAGTTTATCATAAACCCACTCGAGTTTATCGTAAAATTCGCATTTGGCTTCGGTCATTACTGTCTTCGGTACGATGTATGTTTATTAATGCGATTTTAAACCAACGTCCCTGAAATATAGCTACCGAAATTCAATCACTAAAGAAATGTACGACCCTCAAAGCGGATAGCAATCTATTCCTAATTAGAAATCCGGTACCTAAACAATGATTCCCGCTTCTACCGTACCAAATAGTGTACTTTCCTTCCCTGGCCAGAGCCACGACATCCAGATTGTACCCATTAACCTTATTCGCGACCGATTTTAACCCCCCTCCTGTGTTTAAACTCCTTACGTTCCACGTACCAATTTCAAATCTCTATTTTTCAAATTGCGTCATGAATCCCCTAAAGCAGTCCCCAGCCGGAGACCCGAACAGGGGACTAGTTTGCCTCCGGATAATGAGCGTTTTACTTTAGGGAGATCCATGACTATTTGTGGTGTATGGTGAACTAAAGATATGTGAGTAGGGCGTTTAATCCTACGTCACACCCTCCAGCAATTCTGGTGGGCTCCTGCCTCAAGCAAGTGTGGAGGTTCCCTCCCTCTAGCAAGTCTGGAAGGCCCCTCTCATTGTTGGTCAGCGAGTCCATCGGACATAGGAAGAACTTCCAAGGAATTTCTACCGGTAATGAGCTCGTGTGAAGGAGGTACGATGTGTCCCTGTATCATGATGTTCAGTGCTACATTCTCAGTAGTACAATAAAATGCAAAAAAACTTTATAGATAATAAAATAAAATAAGTTATGAGTTAATGCTGAATTCGAGCAAGTAGTGATTTACGATGGTGGCATGCAGGATTGCGTTCGGCAACATTAGTGAATTGTACAAATTACCAATAACCGATCGTCTGTATGCTGCTTAATCCACACTGCCAGATGGGCCTCGAAGGTATTGGCTTTGTTTTGCCACTTCTAATGGAATAATCAGACTTTTTGAAATATTAACTTTGGAAGAGATAGGATTTTAATATATATATATATATATATATATATATATATTATATATATAAATAAAAAAGAAGATATCAAGCTTTAATTTTCGATAAAAGAATTTATGTATAGTGATTTCTGCGCTACAATCCAGATTTACATACACACACCCAAAATGGTTTTGAGGTCGATGAGAGGCTGTTTCTCTTTGTTTTTATTTAGTAACATATCCTTCATATAACCTGTCAAGTATGTTTTGTAAGAATTCAATAATTCATTGTAACGGTCATGTTATAATTCAGGAAAATCAAGAACAAATCTTCTAGTCTACTTGAAGTATTATACAATTTTTCCGATCTTAACGTTACAGAATATGTCTGACAAAAATCAAGTATCTCCTCAACCCATTGTCAAAATTGGCCACTACATTCTTGGGCAAACCTTGGGTGTTGGAACTTTTGGGAAAGTGAAAAGTAAGGTTAAATATAGTGTTTTTAAATTAACTTTTTGTATATTTGTTTGGTCTAAACAAATATAAATAATTTTTGCTATGTATTTATACTGGTCTGAATAATTTTATTTAAATTCTTTACTTGATAGTTGATCAGTGATTAGATCATCATTTAATACTACACAGACATCATATTACTGAACTGCTGTTCGTATAATTCTTGGGTTTCATTAAATAAACATGATTGCTGTCTATTAATAATACTATTTGTATAATTTAGTATTTGACCACACCCCCTGATCAACTCCTCATGATTACTGTCATTGATATATATGTGTGTTAAAAAATTGTTCGTATTCAGAAACCCGTCAAGCATTTACCAGCCTAATTTACTTCACATTACGTTGGACTATTACCCTCCTAGTTTTTTAAATGTTTTTTTTCCATCTTAACCCTAATTGCATTTATGTTTTTAGATTGAAGTCTTACCTTAACATAAGATTTACTCAACCTGGGTTTCACATTTTATATTAATTAAATGAAAATCTGTGTTTGTTCAAAAAGGCATTTTTTTTTTTTTTTTTTTTGCACTGTGTGTTTTAATTTTCCAACTCTTTGTTTTTTACCGTTACTTAATGTTAGTTATTTATATGAAATCATTGGTTCTGACTATATGTATGCTCTTTGGGTGCTGGATTGTCACTGAAATTAAAATACATTATTATCACTCTACTAAGCACCAAAATACTTGATTTAATGGAATAATTGCTAGATTATACGCTATATGAAGTTACTTAAAATAGTCCTCTTTCATTCTCATTATCTGGCCATAAATAATCTTGAACAGGTTCAATCTGCATTTTTGAAAAGGACTGGGATAGAGACTAAAGGTTCCTACACACAGAACGTGATATGTCCTCGAAATATGATACCCTTTGTCGTTATCACTGTGGATTATCGCGCTCTATGTAACTGCTATAATAATACAGCTACAAAACCAAGTTGCCACCGACAGGAATATTGTATCGCTGAGGCATATTGTATTCTGTGTGTAGGAGCCTGAAACAATGACCAAGATGAAAAGTGTTCTTGCAGGTTTTTAGAAATGGCCAGGGTATCTTCTTGAATCTCCCAGAACAGAAGTTATACTTAGCAGCATAAAAATAAAAACCATTTAGGTTAATAAGTTTCTACCTCATCAAGTCCTTTTTCAATTAAACCATCATCATCAACATGAGTAAATAAAAGTTCCTTTACCAGAGTGTCTGAACCAAAAAGTCTCTTAAATCTATCCCTAGATTTAGAAAATGATAATGAAATATCATCTTAACTGCAAACCGCTTCTTTGGACAATTGGATGAAATTAGTGTGCGCCAAGTTTAATCTTATCCGTACATGTGTCATTTCCCTTTTTAAATTTTCAAATGCACTCATCTTGAATTCAATTAATAAATCTGCTACTTAACAGTTCCCCAAAAGGGATGCCAGTATTCCTCATAATACAAAAGTAAAGAATAATGAGAACATGAAAAAAGTAGTGATTGAGTGCAATTTCAAAATCACAATAAATTATATCTCAGTAGATTTTATAAAATAGGATTTTCCACACACAATGCAATTCTATTAATAATTAATAGCATCTGGTTTTTAAAAACTTATTATTACAGCAGTGTTGCCTGCAATTAAAAATAATACATTTTCACACATTAACATTTATAATCTAAGAGAAGTTGATTGAGGTATTCAATAAAAAATAAATAAATGATATTTATTTTTATAAAAAACATTTATTTATTTTAATTTTTTTATTTTAGACTTAACACCCGTACCAATTTCTCATTAATTGTTCACTACAGTCAACCATCATACTACTGTTATCAACATTTATAAATTATTCAATAATCAAAAGTTATTTTACAAATTCCTGAACAACTGTTATACTGGTGATCCCACTAAAGTATTTGGGTTACTAAATTTTTGATCTACTACCATCCTTTGAAAAGTGGGTGGTTTAGCTTACGAATAATAATCTCGATAATAGTGGGGCAATAGTTAACTGTAAATAGTTTAGTTAGGGGTTGCACTCATGAAGAAAATGAAAAATATTTTCTTATATGGCAAAATTTCATCTTAAGTTTCATGCCTTCATCAGGGTTGGAGAAGGGCATGATAACTACTTGACAATTTTATTTAGTTGATAACAAGATAACAATTTTGTTTGGTTATTATCTTGTCTTTTCTCACCCCTAATCAAGTCTTCAAACCAAAAAAAAATTTTTCTTTGTGACTGCAATTCTCAATCTACTTCACAAGCATATATATACTTGTTAATTAAGTATTATCTACCGATATGTGTTCCTCAAAGTATTAAGCACTTTGAAAAATATTCTTTCATTTAGTAAACTAAATACATATCTATTGCTGCTTCCAAATCTTTTGTTGACAAAAATGGATCTCTTTTATAGATTATTTTTTTTTTATCTTTTCTTGCTGGTTAATACTCTTGCAAAAACATGTAGTTATGCAAATAAAAATTTTGTACCATGTGTATGCTCTCTTTTTGATAATTCTGAAAGTGTTACATCACAATTTGTTTTGGATAACAATGTTTACTGTAAAAGATTAATATTGTATAATTGTTTTATTTAATTAAAAATTTGATATGTTGCATCACACAACTTTCACTTACCACTGTACTTTCAGTAAAAATATTTTTTTTTAAAGTTACTTCACCTTAAGAATACTATTTTAATTTAAAATACGAACTTATGGCAATTTGTTCAAAGTATGATAACTGTGCTCACTATTTATTTTTGGTTTCTCAAGCTGAAAATAAATTTCAATCTATTCCATTTATTTCCAATGGAAATTCTATTTGTAATAATTTATTACCACGGGCCGATCTACGGGGTGGGGGGGGGAGGGAGAAGATTTCTGGCTAAAGCATCCCCAAAATGGTAAAGAATAACCATGTTTTATGGAAAAAAATATTAAAAAATTATCTCTTAAAGTATTATTGTTCATGTAATTACATTTAAAAAGACTTTAGGAATCACTTAAATACCATTTCATTTAGGTAGTTGGTTTCTTTCTTTTTTTGCTAAGCAGTTATCGTTATTTTTATTTAAAAAAAAGCTTTCGGGCTGAAGCCCTTTCCCCAAAATTAAATCCTGGATCCGCTAGTGTTTATTACCCATACAATAATTACAAAATTTGACATTATTAACTACAATTAAAAATCATTAGTTTTTTAGTCCTATTTTCTTCCTAATTAATCATCAAATTCATTCATATATTTATGGATCTTGCGTTCCTAGTGACAATTAGGGATCTTTAATTATTTCTAAAAATTAAAATTAAAAGTACTTTTGCGGAAGTCATTTTGAAAATATGGCATTTAAGCCAAGTCATACTATTTCATTTATGATAATATCTAGCTGATATTAACGACCATTTAATTTTACATTGCTATAATGAATTTAATCTAAATTGTTTGAACTATACTTGATTTATTTAAATTTAGTAAATGTAGTTAATATTTTAAAATATTTTTACTTTTTCTCAGAAAGATTAAAGGCAAAAGCTTATCATCCTTTTTTTTGTCGTGGTTTTGAGGAAATATTTTGATTTGGGGTTTGTATGAGGGTTACCTACATATCAACACTAAATCAAACTTTGAAGCCATGATTTGAAAAAAAATATTAGTAGCCTGTCTTTAAAGGATCAAAACAGGGGGGCATGCACCAAAATATGGGGTACAAGCTTTTATTTTTTTAAACTTGTATACATGAACATGTAAAAAAAGTTTAGTTCTGTATGACTAATATATACAACTGATTGGGAAATTAGTACTCTTACAGCAAAAATCATAAGATAAATGTTGAGAAACACCCAATTCTGCGTCCACTGAGTACCAAGATTTTTGAATTCAGAACATTAAAACTCTGCAAATTAACCATCTCCCAATCTGGCAATTGGTATGAGGCACCCATTGCTCAGGAACCCTGTGCTTAAAGTCTAGCTCATAAAACAAGCATCTGCAAATAATTTTTAAAAATTACTTACAACCACACTAGGCACAGAAACTCATTTCTGGTGGTCCTAAAACTTTTACTTAGGAGCTAATGAATTTGATGAATTAGATCACGATAATTAGTTAATTAAACCTCCTATTAGTTTTTATGTTGATTATACTCTTCTGTTTCAATAAAGAAAACAAATTTCTGCCCAACAGAAAAAAAAAACCGTACTAATGACTGGCAGAAGAGGATATGTGATAGCTGAATCCTCCATTTAGAGAGCCTATTGATGGGAAATTATACTAAGAATTAACTTAAATTAAGACTAAATTCAGTCTATTATTATAATATGTAATTATATTATAAGATAACATGTGTTTTATTTTAATTTTGGATATTCAAATGTTGGATGTGTATATAATGAGGAAAGAGATGATCTGGAACGGCAATGTAAATGACTTCAAATGGGGCAACTATTTATACTGAATTGGGATAACTGAGGGTAACAATTTATTTGAAGTTGTTTATGACTGCCATCCTGAACCATCTTATATACTCTTTTTTAGTTTTGTAATATCTTTATTATTATTCTTTTATTTTATTATGAAAATAAAAAATTGTATGATATGTCTTATTATTTGTGTTTTTATACCATTTTAAGGTGTTCCATGCAATATTTGTCTTAGAACTAAAGTTAAATACAATTTCTGTCTTTTATATTCTTTTTCTTACCCTATGAACAATCAAAATAAGCTATTTTCATTCTGTAATTGAAGCAATTTTTTTTTTATTGGCTGGTGTTATTAAATAGATCAAATATTAGGTACAGAAAAGTGCATGTGCATACATACATATTTTGTGCAACAACCCACTAGGGTCTAGGCCTCCTAGAGCAGCCTCCGCCAGATGGCTCTGCCTTGTGCTTCCACACCATTTAACGAACTTGTTCTGGACTGCCTTACTCTCGTTGCTCGGTGGATCTCTTCTCTCATTAGCTTCTTTG